TATGGAACCTTCTTCGACACTATAGTGTGAGTTTCTGAGAACATCGTCAACATCATACGGAACTCATATGGCGGACTACAATGTGAAGTCGTGCATGGAGGACAGCTGACAGATGCATTCCATGTGATGCAGCCCAAGACAACCACTATAGCAAAAGCTACTGCATCAGCAGGCCTCAACATACACAAAGGAAAAAGCAAGATCCACAACGTCAATGAACTCTAAACCAGTCACACTTGACAGAGAAAGTCTGGACGGGGTGAAAGTTTTACGCGTCTGAGGGACATCGCTGATAAATTAGGATGATCTGATGCATATGCGAAGGCACGGACTGGTAAAGCACAGATTGAGTTCTTATGACTGAAGAATATATGGAACTCAAAACGACTGCCATCCAACATAAAAGTCACAATTTCGAATACAAATGTTAAGATGGTTCTGGTGTACGGCGATAAAACTTGGAAAACTGCTTAAGCTGTCACCAAAAAGTTAAAAGTATTTATAAGTAGTTGTCTATGCAAGATACTCAATATCCATTGGTGGGATACCATCAGTAACAGCCGACTGTGTGAGAAGATAATCTAGCATCCAGGTGAAGAGGAAATTAGGGAGAGACGTTGTAAGTGGACAAGACATAGATGGCAGAAGTCATCAAACTGCATCAAGAGGCAAGCACTAACTCGGAATCCTGAACAGAAAAGGAAAAGTTGAAGAACAAGGAACATATCACATCGGGAATCGTCAGAAGAAGCTTACAGAATGAGTAGCGATTGAAAACAGCTGGAAAGAATCACCCAGGAAAGAGTTTGTCATCAAATTCTGGTCGGTGCCCTCTGCTGCGCGAGCAGTAACAGGCGTACTTAAGTAAGTAGACTAGTTTTCTGGTTGAATAATCAATTCTTTGAACCTTCCACCGAAAAAAAGTAGTGTCCTGCCATTGAATAACGCGTTCAAGAAAGGACTTTGATGCATAAGTTTATCAGCATAAGGCTAACACAAGACTTCGTTACCCTTACCAACTCAACACACGCGCTATTTAAAAGGACTATGGTATTTTCCACGCTGAGTAAATTCTATTGTTTTGATCGTTTATTACGTATCACGACTACTGTTTACACTTTAATTGAATTTATTTCAGTCAGAGTATCCGATAAGAGTGTCATTTTTATTTCCAAAGTAATTTACCGTGAGTACTTTGATTTCTATTGTATTTCTTAGTACTTTTAGTCCTAACAATTTACACTTTTCCACTTTCCTGATCATAGATCATTTTGTCTCTGGGTACTATTGTCTAATTTACTTTCAGAAACCTCTGTTCGATGACTGGACAGTGCAAAAAAGCAATCGTCAACGTCTGGGCTGTCGATATTCCGTTGAATGCGGCATGCAGTGCGATGAGTGCAAAGGCTGGTATCACGAAGTTTGCACTAATTTGACGCCTGTGGCTTTCAAGTGGTTCAGTTAAAATGGTTGAGTATGGCTTTGTCAGCAGTGCTGTTTGGACGAAAACAGCTTGCTAACTGAAACCATCTCAATCGTAAGTGCTGCGAAAAGTGTTTTAGCAAGCGCGGTCGGACCACATCGGACAGCACACTCTCTGTCGACACGTAAATTGATGTAAAGCCGCCTCAAATGAGCTCAGAACCAGCTGAATCACATCGATCAAAGGAGGAAAGATCGTTTTCAAAGAAGTTTGTCTTAGCTAAATACTCTAGAAAGGAAGTTTCCTCTGTTCCCCGTCTTATAAACGGTATCCAGCAAGAAACGCCTAGGAATCACAATCTCAAGGCTCGATTTGTTTCTAGCAGGAAGCACAACCTGACTTTCCATGTTGTCGACAACCCTCCGGAATCCTACAGTACGTTTGACGTAACTTTGGTTGCTATCCCAACGGAAGTTGACGAATGGGTACAAATCGTAAGCAAGGAACGACATAACGGTATAAACGTGAATCCTACCCCCTAAAAAGGTAGTCAAGGAACTGGAGACTGATCACAGTGACAGGTTAGTTATTTTCTATAGAATCAAGGAGAGTGAATGCTCTCAACCGAAAACTCGTTTTGAGCATGACATTGGGTTGATAAAACAGCTACTAAACTAACTTATGTCTCAAAATATCTCCGGAGACACCTTGCTAAAGGTGTATAGACTAGGTAGTCAAGCTAACTTAAAACCAAATCAAGCCAGGCTGCTCTAAGTGGCATTCAAATCTCCTAATGAACAGGATACAATTTTAGAGAATTGACATGAGTTAAGAAGTTCAGGAGTTTTTGTCTGCAAAGACTTGCCGCTGGAAGACCGTGCGAAAAGACGGGAAGCCGAAAAAGAACTACAACTTAGGTTAGATGCTAGCGAAAGTGATCTAAAAATTGTAAATTTTTGGGTTGTGAGGCTTCGACAGAGAATGATGCCGGAGGCACTCTGGGTGAAGCACGATGCCATCTAAACAGGCTTCGGATCTGCTACACTAATACACGAAGGTTGCTCAATAAGCGGTTGGGACTAGATGTACAGATTGACTCTACAAAGCCAAATGTAATCGCAATCAAAGAAACTTGGCTGACGCAGTCTATAAATAGTATGGAACTTGATTTTGAGGATTTTACTTTAGTAAGAGCCTACAGAATACAAAAGCGTAAAAAAGGAGGGGAAGTTGCTTTATTCATTTAGAATGCCATTATCTCATGAGAGTGGTACATGTGGATTACTTAGTTTCCACTTGAAATGCAAAGGACTAAATCTACTGATTGGTTTGGTCTATCGCAGTCCATGCTGTGAGGTAAATGAGGTCTTGCTAAGCAGTCTCAATACTTGGTCACAAAGTGGTCGATGTCTAATCCTAGGAGACTTTAGTGCACCCGTGGTATACTGGGAAAATCTGAGAACTGAATCTTCAGATAATTCCTTCGAGAAGAAACTAGTTGCTATGGTTATTACGTATGCCCTAATGCAACATGTGAAAGAAGCAACTAGAAACGATCCGGACTCTTAGTCATTTTTACTAGATCTTATATCGATCCATTATGAGGATCACATTACGAACCTCGACTACATGCCACCCCTAGGTAAAAGATATCATGTAGTTTTAAATTTTGACTTCCATATAATTTTCAAGCACGAGCACGCGTCAGCTCAATCCAGATCTAACGTCTTAATAGTAAACATACAAGATATCATGCACTCAGCATCATCAGTAGATTGGACAATAAAGTCAGAGTCCTCAATCAAAACTGCTCGGGACGTATTTCGAAATTTAAACTTAAAAGTAACCTCACCCCACATCCCTTGGACTACATCAAAGGATTGAAAACTCCCCACCATGGTTCAGAAGGGAGGTTTGCCTCCTTCTCCGTAGGAGAAGAAAAATTTGGGATAGATTTAGGTTACTCAGTATCAAAAAGCTCGGAATACCTTTGCCTCAACCCTCCGTAATTCTAGTAGATTGTACGAAGAGAAAACTGTCGAGAAACCCATAGAATGTCCTAAAAGTTTGTATTCGTATATAAACCAAAGGACAAAAAGAAGAGGAAATTTTGCCGGCACTATGGGGAGACAGTACTGCATTATCATTAGTGGAGGACGACTTTGATAAAGCTCAAGTATTCCCAAACTTCTCTAGCCATGTATATACCATGGAAACACCTACCGTTACTCCATACAAACCCTCTACACAAACACTGGACAGCGTGGTCATTAAGGGATTCGATGTTTTTGGTCTACTAAATAAGCTTGACATAGGTAAATCCACGGGATCCGATGAATTACATCCTAGGCTACTGAAGGAATTATCAAACTTCATTGCGAAACCTTTAAGTGTATCCTTTAATCTATCCGTAAAGCAGAGTCGATTATCAAAAGCTTGGAAGAACGCCATAGTAAGACCTGTTTCAAAACAGGTGCGAAACATAAACCTGAGAATTACCGACCAGTTAGCTTAAGCAGTGTGGTTGTTAAAATCTTAGAAAAGATTGTTCGGAAGGAGCTGTTTAAGTATCTCGATGAAAACCGGATCCTTTCGGAGAAGCAGCATAGTCTTAGAATAGGTTAATCTTGTCTCACTAACTTATCAATGGCTTGTGAAAGCTGGTTTTGGGGGCCAGTGTTATTCCTCTTGTATGTAAATGACCTTCCTCGCCTAATATCATGATCGGTTTTGCTATATGCTGACGATGTCAGGATATGAAGAAGCAAAGGTGATAGCCTAGAACTCCAGAATGACCTGAAGAAATTATCTGAATGGTCTCAAACCTGATGGTTCCCGATTAATACTTACAAGTGTATTGGGATGCATATCGGTAATCAACGCACAGATACATACAAGATGGATAACACTGAGCTACCTGTTGTCCAGATACACAGTGACTTAGTAGCCATCGTTAGCCAAGACTTAAAGACTACTGCACACTGGCGTGCAATAGCCGTCAAAGGTTTTAGAACTTTATGGTCTTTAGTCATGGCGACGCTAAAGCTTTTTTGACTTTGTGTACGGTGTTCGTACGTCCTAAAATTGAGTACTGCATACAAGCGGCTAACCCCTTCTTGAAAAAGACAAACGGCTTTTAGAAAAGGTTCAGAGAACATCAGCTAAGCTGCTTCCCAAAATAGCGTAGCTCTCGTATGAAGATCGACTGGCCAAACTAAATATATTCCCGTTGTCTTATCGGAGAACTAGAGGCGACTGATTACAGTTTTCAAATTTCTTATTGATAAATTTGCACCTGATATGCCCTCATTTTTCTTGTCTTTCAAAACAGAGAATTTACAAGGACACAGCAAAAGATTTCACAAGTCCATTACAAATTACTTTGAGTTATCGACTTTCCTATTGAATAATCGAAGAGTGGAATTCATTACCTCAGCACGTGGTTGAAGCTCCATCCGTCGACTCTTTCAAAAGAAAGTTCGATCATCTGAGAGACGGTCATTGCCTCACGTCTTTCACAAACTGAAACTTTCTCCAAAATAAGAGTTAGTTGATCAATCATAACATTGAGCGCTCTGTATTTTTGTAACGCTACTTTTAGATGGTGTTCGTAAGTGGTTGGTATTAATTGATTCTTTTTCTTAGTTTCATCGAATTGATAATTCTTCACCGTTCACCACCTCGTATAGATGCTACCCAGTTTCCTTTTTAGCCGATAATTTTCGTTCTAGCGTGGAAAAAGGAGGAAAAAGTAAGACTTCATATACTGTGTAAGTGTTTTAGTTATCATGCCTCCATCTGCTTTAGATGTACTTAGTAAGTCTCTGATTTATGAACGTATAAAACTTTAAGCACGACTGAACGTCCAGTACCCAATGCTATTCAAGCTAACTAACCAACAAGCAAACAGAACTACTCATTGTGGTGTACTGGAATTTGTTGCAGATGAAGGGAGGATTTATGTTCCTTATTGGGTAGACATCAAATATATCATTTCTATTTCAGATGCTAAAAAATCTACATTTGGAAGAGGGTGGCCTGGTCTCTGTAGTTAATGCAGCCTTACCTGTAGCTTCTTTCGCTCGTTTCCAGCCTCAGAGTACTGATTTTCTGGACATATCTAACCCCAAAGCTGTGTAATTTTATCCCCAACTTATAGTTACATTTAGACTGGAAAATGCTCTTCGCGACTTTGCTTGCCTCACAGTCGGAGATATCATTGCTATCAACTACAATGAGCGTATATATGAGCTTAAAGTGTTGGAAACAAAACCGAAGGATGCAGTCACTATAATCGAATGTGACATGAGCGTAATTTTCCTATTCATATATTTATCTTTTTAGGTTGATTTCGCACCTCCAGTTGGATATCAGCCTACTGATTCTGCTTCTTCGAGCAAACAAAGTGATAAAGATCTACATAAGGTATATCTTTTAATTGTTCACATTTTTTAAATACATAAAACATAACTTACTGACAGCTGTTCAAAGTTCCTTTTGGCTGCCAACCCATATGGTACGAGTCTGTTGGTGAGATCCAATTAGTTTTATGAAGTTCGAGATTATAGCAGACTCATTTGTCAGAAGGAAGAATCTTTAGGGTATTGTGTTATCTGACCTGGTTTGGTGGTGACGCTCTTGTTTTGAACCCCCGTACACCTACGCACATGTGGTAAAAATTAATAAATAAAAGTATCTGATGCCATTATCCTTATCTTTAAAGGTAGAAGTTATCATATCACAAGAATTGAAATAGCATTGCTTTTTTGTCTACATCAATTACCTCAGTGACTGTATGTAATTCAGATGCATAAATATAATCGTCGTTTTGTCATCACTTCCATTTTTGTGACAGTTTAAAAATTGCCAAAAATATTTGTTGACAATATTTTTTCTCGTTCTGTCATTTGTCTACGCTGATTGCTTGTTTCAGATCGAAGAAGATCATATAGAAATCCCTTCAGTTGTTCAAGGATTCCAGGTAACTTGTTCATATAACTTCTCTCTTGCTTAAATATTATGGCGATAAATACTTAAATACTTATTGCGATGGCTAAGTAAACTTCAAGATCCCTGATATTTCTATTTTGAAGATCGAGTAGGTATTTACGTGTTTTAATTTGTTGAAAAATACTGACTTATTAACTGAGGAACATCAAATATCTCATATCAGTAAATCGGTATAGTTCGGAGTCATCAAATGAGAAGGATAAATGACAAATAGCTAAGCTTACCTAGTAGCGATCCATGCTAATCTATCTTGTATTTACATCCATTGAATCATATCGAGAACCATACTAAAGGGTCTTAAGTGTCATCGTCTTATATTAGAATTACTGACTTCATAACTTATTATTAACTCTTCGCCTGATTACCCAGAAATATTTCTCAACCTGATGTCTTAGTTAGCATCATATTTGTTGATGGCCTGTAACTAGAAATGCATAATAGATCTGTATCCTAGGTCGGTACGGATTCCCTACCTTGCTGACTCATCGGCCCTACTGTGTGCGAAAAACACTTCATTCTCACCGATTGGCAAATACCTTTATTGTAATATCACTTGTCATCATATGCAAATTGGTCTGATAGAATGAAACTAACTACTTCATCATATTCTGAGTTTACACTAGAAGTCATAATGTTTTGATATGTATTCCCGACTGCCAAACAACGTTTCTTATCCGACAATACGTCGTCAATTACCTAATATCGTGAAAAAAATGAACTCCTTGCGTACATTAAAAATTCATGTTGATAAGTGAAAACTAAATATTGAGTATTCATTTTTGTTTTCTCTTTGTGATCATACTTTTTTTCATAATATTTAACCATATTTATGTTGTCTGTCATCCAAAAGTATTGATTTCCTTCCTATTTCAGTTATACTTTCCTGTTTATCTTCAAGATTTTATGGTAATAGTAGTAGCAGCAGTGTAGTACATTGGTAAATTACTAGAACAAAGTGTTTATTTAGTATGTTCGAGTTGTGGATCCATGTCTCAGGTTTCACGAGTCGAATCGTCATCAGGACCTATGACTTATTCATCGTCTATTTTCAAATTAGTTCATCGACTTCTGTTACTTTGTTTTCTTTTTATATAAAATTCTCAATGGTCCTGTCAGTCTAAAAAACAAGTAACATAAACTTGAGTCACATCATGGACAACACCCATTTTCTTCCGAATTTACGAATCATTAGTATTCAGGTTTTTTAATCCATATGAGTTGTATTTGTAGCTAAATAGACTAATTCATAGGAATATTTGTATGTTACCAGTTTTATTTGTTTAAGCAGCACATGAATTCTCATTTATTCTAGGCATTTAGCGGTACAGGTTATCGGTTAGATGGAAAAAATAAACAGGACAAAACTGATGAAACAGATAATGGTCAATCATTAGGGCAATTGAAGGAAAGAGAAAGGTAAGAATGACCATTGTTTCTAACCTTATTACCGTTACACCAAAGTGTTCACAGAATAAATTGAATTATTGATAACATGAAAGTAATTTACATGTGATTTTAGTAAAGAAATTTGGTCTTCGACCCCAAACAAATCGAAAGCTGAAGCAAATAATCATATCTTAACAGAAAGAGTTATCTTTTCGGCGAATTCATTTTCAAAGCTCTACAATCGCAAATATATATACTTGTCCTTTGATGAATACTTAAGCCATTAACAATCAAACGATTATTAAACTTTCCTTGTTTTTAAAAGAGTTTTTTAATAACTTTGTTTGTTTAACTTCAATGTCAACATGCATAACAGTAGTTTATTATCAGTATTATTATCATCCTGTTAAAATAAATACATATATTTACGGTTGTACAGCTTTGAAAATGAGTTCGCCGAAAAGAGAACTTCTCGCTGAACTAATCTTTCTTAATTAATGTCTTAATGGGTGTATTCCGTTTACCAAATATTATTATACAGAAGTGAGAATATGGAAAACAAAATGTCACCACCTGTTTTCTAAAGTTTAACTTTCAAACGGCCATGGTTACGGAAAGACCTAACATCTAAAAGTCCCCTATACTACTGAAGTTCATATTAAATCCAAAAAATTAAGACGATCAATGAAATATCAGGAATTGTGATGCTAAATATTTCTAGCTTGAGTTTGAAATTTTTTATTGGTAGTTCACGATGTCAGCCTGTATTAGCACAGTGTAGTCAGTAATGAATTTTATCTAATATTTACCTTATATTCTTAATGCTTATTTGGTAGGATGATTTTATTTAATTCAGTTTAACTTAATGAATGATCGAATGTTTGAAAGTACTCTTTCTGGACTCTTGACTTTCTTCACAGGGGTGTACCAAACTATAATTATCAACCTGGAAGTTTAACATTTTTCCGAAATCTAAAACAAATTACTGCAGAGGTAGGTTTATTTTATCTAATATTTTTTATAATACTATGTTATGCTGTAAGCTGATATTCCGTTGCCAGTTAAATTAATACGTATCATACCATGGTTACATTTACTTTATCAAAGGCGGTGGAAACAATTTCGACGTTGACACTGTCCATTAACTTAAATTCTCCTCACTGAGCATGATTTATAACTTTGATTTGAAACAGAGTAGTTAGTGTATCATTTCACGTTGCAATGGTTTATACGACCAAATAGTATCACTAGTCTTCATACAAGTAACTGTAAATTAAATCTAAGTACTTAAACTGGTACTTACTTGCTGAATGTTTGAATCTTTTCAATCATTGCTTACTCTAACATTTGTAATTGTGAGAATAGAAGACTTGAATTTCCATATTGTGGATTCTGTTGATAATTCTACTTCAACTATCTATGGTTAAAACAGACGCCTTTATTTATTATCCTTTTTTGTTAACAAAACTAAGTCTTCTAAGAATTCAGGTGTAAGCGAAACAATCACAGAAAAAGACGACACTCTTACCTGCTCTCAGTCCAGACGTTTAGAACGATGGGCAGAACACTTTAAAGAACTGTTGAGCTGGCCTTCAGCTACTCTACAACTACCCAGCATTCCCAAACAGCCTGAATGAAGCATTGAAGTAGGCCTACCGATTCTGATTGAAGTTCAAAAAGCTACAGCTAATCTGAAACACGGAAAAGCAGCTGGTTCAAATGGATTGGCACCAAAGGTCTTTAAGGATGATGGTCCAGTTTTAGTGATTAGGTTGGCTAATATTTTAGCTAAGATCTGGGAGTTGGACGTAACTCCATATGTCTGACTGGTCACAATCACTGATCGTCCCAATATTTAAGAAAGGGTCAAAATTATCCTGTGATAACCATAGAGGGGTTAGTTTGACTAATATAGCATCTAAAATACTAGCCTCAATAATTATCGGATGCTTAACTAAGACTCGTGAACTGCAAGCACGAGAAAATCAGGCTAGATATAGGCCTGATTGCTGCTGTTTCGACCACATATTCACCATTCGTCAGGTTCTAGAACACAGGCATACTTATCGGCGTCCGACAATAGTGGTCTTTCTCGACATAAAAAGCAGCATTTGACTCCGTAAACCGAGAAGTACTGTGACAGTATCTGTCATTGAAAGGCGTACCTCAGAAGTACATAATTATTTATTTATTTTATTTCAACACATAGATAGTGGTACAAAGAGGCACCAAATACATATGCGCCACACAAATCTCATTCGATATGTGTGAGGGCTGTGATACTGCCCGGGTGCCCAAACCGAAGCAGGTGGTTTTCTTAGGGGGCCACACCCCGAGCCTTCGACCTGAAGGTCTGATCCACAAGGCAGTGGAGCATCGTAAGGAGATGCAGTCCCATGGAAGCCGGTGACCAACAATTGGTTCATTCGCCATTTTTTCCCGCAGGATACTGGAGCCCATGTGCACCATTGGTTTGGAGTCCGGTTAAAGCGCCGGACATTCGCTTTTCGTCCTCTCATTTTCGTAAACAACACCCCCGCCACGAGAAGGCAGTGAGTAGGACTTCCCTGGCAGAGGCTATATACGCGTGGCCGTGTGAGAGTATTTCGAGAGGGAGAGCGGACTCTCCCCACTCTCGGCCGTACCAGGGCATAAACCTTGTGAATGCTCTTTACCCGAACACCATCAGTCGAGTCAGAGGTTATGACAAACTGTCTCTGCTTTTGCGACCTCAAGTGGGGGCTGCCAAGGCTATCCACTCTTTTTTTGTTCAATTTCATCATAGACATAATTATGGAAATAACGTTCTTGTCTGAACATCGATCATCACGACGTGCAATGCTGATTAGTGTTGGGGGTGGTTAGAAGAAAGTTAGGGGCGGCTAAACCAAAACATGCCATCAGTGCTTGAAGTTAATAACTTCTGGTCTGAGTCATGTTACTAGATGCAGACTACTTGGTTGGGATCCGAGCGACTATCATAACCAATGGTTAGAGTTTGTGTGACATGGCTGAAAATTGATCACAATGGTGTGTGTGTGTGTGTATATACTTTTTGTTTTCTCTTAAACCGTGAAATTAAAATCGCTTTATACCTTTCTACCAATTAGTTCTTTCTTGCTGTATTATATTCTCATACACAATCTTTTTTATATATTACTACCATTGAAGTAACCACTATGATTTTGGTGTTGATCTTGTTGTACTAATAAGGTGTGGCAACCTGAACCGATGCATATATGTGCCTGGTCCTACGTTGTAGCTGACAGACTGAAGCACGTACACCTGTGTAGAATTTTTAGATTTTGTTGACATGTAGGCAACACGGATCCCGGTTTTTTTTTCACTTTTAACCAACCATTTTTTGCTATTGATGTTTTAACAGTGTCCATCCGTATTCAATACTAAAGTTCTTTTAATCAAAGAAAGAACAGTTGTAAAGTAGACTTTGTCGATAAACTGGATAGTTTTCAAGTGCTGTATAAAATAGCAAATTATTATAATCCTTCAACTGCAAATATTTACTCGCTTCCTTATATGATTGGTTTCACACGTAATTATATTTAGAAACATAGAAGAGCAACTCAGTGATTTAAGCTCGTATATTCAAATCACTAAATAATTAGCAGATTTGGACCCATCTCCGCCCTTTCTCTTTAGCCACTATCCAGATAATAACTCTATCTATTGATTCTCATTCAGAAAATATGTTTCAATAGCCGGTTAAGTGAGTTTATACTTGGTTACCGAAGTGCATTAATATTTTCTAAGGGTTAATCAGTAATTTTATTTCCTATTCATTTCAAGTTGTGAATAGTTGAATGGGACAAGAAATTTTGTTGGGATTTATATTACTATTTACTTAACTACTGTTTGACATTTTCTATAATAAATCTTTATTATATATATATTTAACTGTTTTTACAGAAAATAGAAGAACCTGTATTCAAACCTTTCAGTGGTACAGGTCATCAATTGAAATCACGCAAGAAATGAAAGATAATCTAATATCCTCCATATTAAATTGTTTATCTCACTGTTTGTAATGAAGAATTACACTTTGTCAATTTTTCGAGTTTTCTTTCATTTGCTTAGAAGCACTTGTATAATTTGGTTGTTAATAATTTTTGCGTATTAACAAATCTGTTAAATTGACAATTTTTTCTCTAATGTCCTCGCATCTCACGCACTATGAAATGTCACCTTTTATGAAATAATTTGTTTTTTTATTTTTAAAAAGTCAGATAAGACCTTGTGATATTTCAGTGATTAAAATTGAATCGACATTAGGCGGTTGGAGACGATTGTCAGTAAACTGTGGACTTAGGTTTCATGCTAATTGTCACTCTTATCAGCTAGGTATTTTTGCTATCTTGAGCGGTATAAATGTGAATTAGTGGTCAGTTATTTAGTAAACAGTTAAGATCAAAAATGTCAATCACCAAAACAAACTGTGGTTATTTCATCGATCACGACCAAGACATAGTATAATGTAATTTTGTGATCGTGTACTTGGTGCAATGTATAATTAATTTTTTCCATCTAACTTTACTGACAGTTTACTTAGTAGCTACTAATTTCAGAAGTTCCAAGTTCTTTATCAATGTATTGATAATAAACAATTAGCAATATAAGGACGATTTTCTAAGAAATACAAATGAAATAGTATTTACCCATCAAGCATTTTAAAGTCAAACAAAAAATATGTTATATTCATTAATTATTATTACAACCAGTAGTCGGTAGTGACAGGAATAAGGCATCGTTATTGGTGTTCATAATACATCAGAAACTGATCATCCAAAATGAAAATTCGACAACCTACGATTATGATTGTATTACCAACAGATCATATTGTGTTAAGGATGCTGAATTCCCAAACACAACATTAGGATGATGTCAAATTTTAACATTCTTATGGTGATTAATGCGAATTTTCATTTGTATTAATATATTAAGTACGAAGTTAGTTTGATTTTTGATTCGTTTCTCACTATATTCATAATTTCACTGTGACTTTGTGATCAACTGACGATTGTTTAGTTAAATAATTTTTTGTAAAAATATTTGGACCACTTGACAACCATTCAATTTAAATTGAACATAATTTAATTCTTCTGGAGCCTTAACCAATACATCTTCTTTACAAGAACTCTCTTTTAATTGCGCAAAGGAATATTATTGAAGTGTCTCATATTAGTCTCTCCGTCTATCCAATCCTCATGGGTCTTTTTTCGTACTAGAAGAATCTCTCAAACACTTGTCATTCTAAACCACCATACCCTTCTTACTCAAACAAATCTACAACATACTGTACGTACATTCTATCCATGTTTACCTGATCAATTTATTGTTAAATGCAAGATTACAGAGTGCTCTCGTAAAATATGAAAACCATACATAGTTTGCACATCTCCCACCAATTATCCTTTACATGTTTCATAATTCCTTTGTTATTACAACTTCTGTTTTATTCAATTGAATCTCCTCAATCTTCTGTCGGGATTCATTCTGCTTCCGATTGCTACTACATGCTACTTATATATGTCGACATAAGTAGCACACACCACAAATGTAGTTGTGGAACAAAAAGCTAGGTCATCATAAACAATTTTATTTTATAGTTACATCCTATTATTTTCAAACGTAGAAATGTCATCAGAACTATCAATAAACTGGTTTTGTGCAAAATTATTTTCACTGACTAACAAATATTTAAGGATAAAAAGCTAGCAATTGCTTACTTACGCCTGTTACCCCTTGTGGAGGAGTATAGGCCGCCCACCAGCATTCTCCATCGCACTTTGTCCTGGACAATCGTTTCCAGTTGCCATTCACTCCTTTCATGTCTGCTTCCGATTCTCGACTCATTGTGTTCTTTGACCTTTCTTGCTTCGTGATCCAGTTAGATTATTTTTGCAATATGTGTCCTATCCACTTCCAACGTCTTTTCCTAATTTCATCCGGACGCTGATTTGTTCTCTTCCAAAGTAGGCTGTTGCTTATGGTATCCGACCAACAGATATCGAGTATCTTAAGTAGACAATGGTTTATAAATACTTGTATGTTTTTGATGATGGTTGTGGTATTTCTTTATGATGACTGACTGTGGTAGTTCTCCAAGTTTCAGCTCCGTACAGTGGAACTGTCTAGACGTTCGTATTGAGGATTCTGACTACGATATCGGTTGACACTTGTTTTGAGTTCCATATTTTCTTCAAGTGTAGGAATAATGCCATGCCTTGTTGATTCTGGATCCGTAAGATACCCATCCTATGAGTGCTTTTTGTTCTTATTTGGACAGCATCAGAGCAACTTTCTGTGTGTGGAGCGTTTTCCTCTTCGTGACCAGAGTATAACAACGTCTCTGCCGAATCTCTCCTTTTCTGTTCAGCTTTGGCCCAATGGGTTTCAATCATTCCGATCACGGAAGAGTTGTATTTCCTTATTTCTGTAGCTATTTGGTTGGTCCTCCGGGTCTCCCACATTGTTTGAAAATTCCATGTACCTATATTAATTGTTGTTCTGGCTGTTAGGAGAGGTATCGGTATCGTGACTTCCAGAGAATCTCGGCTTTCATCATGAGGCATAATTCTTCCTTCAACTTCCAGGACAGAGCTTAAATGGTTTAAATTGTTTATTCTAGTTAGCGCGTTCTAGCAAGGTTTTTTTTACGGTATGGAGATGCTGACATCTTGCCCAACCCTCCTTTACCTGTGCTTGGGACTAGTAATAACACTTGAGGGGCCACAAGGGAGATGTTCAAAAACTCGTCAGTGAATGAAGTGGTTTTCATGGTAAGAAATTACTTTTTTCGTAATAATACAATGCACTGACACTTATCTAATAATTTTCACCTTACATAACTGATTGAAGCGTTGTTTTCTCCCAAATCACTTCAGTAATGTTAATGTAAGTAGTTTTAAAATTTTTTCCACTTGGCTAGTGTAGAATAGCATAGTATTGTTTAAAGTGTTCTATATTAACTGACTTTTTCTTGACAATTGTTAAGATATATCTCCATGTATATCCATTTTAGTGGCTAGCTTTATGAAATAGTACATTTGAAGATAAATAATGTAGAGAGGATATTTAAGTCTTCGTAAGCCATTTTAATTTTTTAAATTACGATTTCCGTCTTCGTTCTCCAAAAGAATATGACATTTTGTATTACAAAAACTCATTTCTATGGGATGTAAAGAGGAAGAGATAGGCCTACATACAGTGAGATCATCCGCATATTTCACAAAAGTGTTTTCTGTGAAAGATGGCAGATCATGCCGAAAAAAAGAGAAAAGAACAGCTCCTTGTGGTACACCTTCATGAGACAGTAAAGACTCTGAACACTTTCCTCCAAATACAGTGTACTGTTCCCTTCCAAATAGGTAGGAACATAGTCAGTTGGTTATCCAGCTATCAGTGTTGACGCTGATTAACTTGTTGAGTAAACGTTGTCTTCGTATAGAATCAAAAGCTGAAGTATAGTCCAGAAAAGCGCATCGGACATACTTCTTACCCTTTCCTAAGTTGAATAATATATTGTGATGCAGAACGGTGACAGCATCTAAGGTGCTTCTTTTGCATCTGTAAGCAAACTGATACGGATCAATATGCTCCTTTATCGCAGGCTGAAGTAAAAGTATTAATAATTTCTCCATTGTTTTGAGGAAGGGTGAAGTTATTGCAATAGGTCTAAATTTCACATTCTTATCACCAGATACTTCCTTTGGTACAGGGATTATCCTCACCATTCTCCACATTTTCGGTATGAGATTAGATGAGAAGGATCTGTTAAAGATAGTCGTGAATGGATAACATAGAACGTCAGCACATTTTTTAAAAGGAGGTTTGGGATACCATCAGGTCCTAAACATCGGGATGAATTAAGTGACTGGAGACACCCTCGGATATCATTTTCAGTGAAACTAGGGACACAGCTATTCTTTAAACCTGTGGATGAAGGGAGCATTACATCAGATGACTGACGTACAAGAGACTTATTTAAGTCACAAACATTCAGCTGGTTATCGCTCCTAATCTGTCTGTCACCTGTAAGTTCTTTAAAGAGTTTCCACATACTTGGAGAGTTTTTGCAAGACAAGAGTTTTTGAGTAAACATACAGTTGAGACGTCTAATCTCTAGGTATGTCAGACCATTTAGCTTACGAACTTCATTGGAGTTTTCCTCCTTGTATATTCTTTCTTTCACCCTCCGTATTCGTTTTAGTTATGAAGATGTAAGCCGATCAAAACTTACAAAAATGGTTTCAGTGGGACAAGTGATAACATCAGTAGTGATTTCCGGTTAATCATCTGTAAACAATTCTCAGTTAGTCGTATGAAACATGTTTTTCAGATTTCGGATATTTTCTTCTGAGTGTTTCTTATATTTGACTTTCTTGGTTTGATGTAAGAGTGTACTCTTCCCATGCTTTCCATATACTTTATGTAGAACACGAATTATACAGTGATCCGAGCTAGACAATGGAGCACGTTTACGAGTCAGATATAAGTCCACATCATTCATGAAAACGAAGTCTAAATGAGCATCCAAACGAGTAGAAAAATCTACTACATTTTGGTAACCTAGTGACGTAAGGAAGCTACGGTCACATGAATTGAAATCACCACATATAACTGAAAGTGAATCACTAAAGACAGTAACAGCGAAAAAAGATAGCTATTGTATTCGGACTTATTGGAATTATAGCACTAACTAAGAATCCCAGAAATAACGCAATTGAATTAAGAAGACACAGGCACAACCGAATGTACTGTATTTGGAATTCGAAATTGTGCAATCAACAAGTACAAAAGTATCATTAGTCAATTCAAACACCACATCCGCCACAGCTTAAATAGAAGTATAAGTGTTTGCAATCGGTTGTATGTTTTCTTGTTAAGTTCATCCTGAGTCTGTCCGACATTGTACTGGATGAAAACTTTGTAGTATCTAGAATGTGCTCATTAGTATGGGAATTAACAAACGAAATCGGAACAGACCCACCTGGAATTGTATACAATCAACATATCGGTTTTGTACTGAAATGATTCATATCTCGAATTGGAATCATAGATTTTTCAACGCTATCCCCCCCCCACGAAATAATGTTGGGTCTTTATATTCCCAAGTTATGAATAATGTGGCTTCATTTAAAACATATTTCTCACATTGATTAGAGTAAACATTAGAAGTGTTTTTGTGATAAGG